GAAAAAATGTAACGCGTGCCGACGCTGCGAGGCAATATCGCGCGCGCACCGCTCAACCGTGAAGGGTTAATCGGACGCGGTGACGCGGTGACGCGGAGACGCGGAGTATCGTGTCTCTAATTAATTGGCGCGAGTTGAAAGGCCGACTCGCGATTAAGTAAACGCGATATTATCTTGTCCGGGGGACTGATGACGGTGCCCGGGCCAATAATATTCACAATATTTAATTAACATCGTGGGCGAGCGAGCAGATAGGGAGCAAACGGTGGCCGCGCAAACTGGTTGAACGATTTCGCGCCAGTTCAGCCGGTGAATATTAATTAGAATATCTCCATCTTTCTCGTTTTCTTTTTGTTGGCTCGATCCGTATCGTACCAGCGGAACCAGCGAGCGGCACCGAACGACACCGAACGACACCGAACGACACCGAACGACACCGAACGGCAACGAGCAAACCAGAAAAAATCTCGATAGGTTGCCGAACGAGATTAAACGACCGTCCTTGGCCGCGGGGTTCTCTTTCGCAGCTTGTAATTTCATAAATCGATCCACGCGCCGCGCTCGCACTCGATGGGATCCCTGTTTTCGTTAAAAACGGGTACTCGTTCTCTCGGCCCCTGCCGATCCTCTGCCTCGCCACCGCTAATGAAATCCGTTCTCGGAAGCCCGGCTCGTAAAGGCCGAGAGAACGAGCGCCGGGGAGCGAAATTAAAAGCTGTCCATAGCGACGCCCGCGCCTCTTAATCGATTTCCCGGAGACCGCTGCTCGCGGCTGGATGCGAGACGCCGCGCGGTCAGGGTAGGCACTTACTCGGCTAGCGGATACCGCGAGAGATCTTTCGCGTGTCTCTCGGAAAGCCTTGATCGTTCGCACGGACGGCTGTTCCAGTTTCCGTCGCTGCTCGCCGCGCGTGTCCCGGGCCGCGTTCTCCTTCGACAAGGCAACGCGCGCCGAATAGATTCGATCGTTTTCTTCCTGATTCTCTTCTTCTTCAACTTCCGGAACACAGGTATACACCTTACGTAGGGCCTTAGCGACCTACTCCAACAGGTCCGAAACCTCCGAGTACAACATTTGAAATAACAGGTTTCCCGTTGACGAGAAACGAACAACCAATTAACCGCATGACTCCGCTTAACCGGATTATTTCAGCAACGATCGGCCGAAGGCGCAGAGAAATTTCGTGGTTCCCGTCGAAGAGCAACGGAGAAGAAGAAGGAAATTTATTGGGATTATCGCGCGCTTTACACACGGATTACGCGATGCCGAGTCCCGATGCGATGGGGTCGATTCGAGAGATCGATCGATCGCGAACGGTGAGGGAACGTGGGCTGGTACGCTCGCGTAGCTAGTAATTGTCGGACACAAATTGGTTTGTCACGATAAATCAATGCGCGGAGCGAGCGTCGCGCGTTGTCCGTCGCTCGATCGAAGGATAAGAAGACCTGCCCGACACGTACTTTTCGCACGAATCTGGATTCTCTTTTCTGCATTATCGTCGCGATCCGTCCCGCGTCAATTAATAGGCGTATCGGCCTATCGGACGTTAGCGCCGAGATCGAGGAGCCGTAATCGAACGGCTTTCCGCTTCGCTTAGAGACCGCGCATTCGCTCGATTATGGAAACCACCTCTTCGTACCCTGTACACGCGCGACCGGTTCCGCGATCGATCAATCCTTCGATTTCGTTCCGTTACCTTCTACCGTTTATTATTGTTTTTCTTTGCTTCTTGTTTCGCCGTGCCGTTTCAGACATTCGAACGGCCTTTTAATGCGACATTTCGATCGACCCACGATAAGAAACCTTTGAGACGGACAGTTCTGAGGTACACTCGAAAGATCTTCGCCCGAAAGAAACTATTTTGCTGTATCTCGAGAAATTGATTCTTGCCGATATTACACTGCGAAACTAGTTGGTTTCTTGGCCGGTTCCTTGTGTTTAGCGAGAAGAAGGACGACTCGGTTTATCGGTGCTATCAGCAATTAAACCACGTTTCTCTCGGCAGGGAGCGATCCGAAAGCAACGAGTCCAAACCCCCGAAGCGTTGCGGCAGCGATTCCCTGGAGCCAGGCATCTCTTATTAAATCTCGTCCAGAAATTACGATTAACCGTGCACTATCGTGGCGTCGGAGCTCCTTCGAGGCGCATACTTTGGCTTTATCCGAGAGTAACGTCTAACAGAAAATATTATGCGCCCCCTAGCCCGTGTGCACGCCCGTGTGCACGCCCGTGTGCGCCGCGCAATATTCTCTCGAATTCAGATTCATCTATTCAGATTAATCCTCGGCTAGCCCCGTCCCGGCCGCCGCATAAATCTTCCGCTTCCTTTTCATTTTCCGCAGCCTTCGAGCCTTCGGGATAACGCGCTCTCCTCTACCGACGCGGTGTTCTCCGATTTTCCCCGGGTTTCCCGGGGAGGAGCGCTCGTCCTCGTTACAAGGATTACACGATGCGGCCGGCTTAAAAATCCTCGGGGCTCGGCGTTACAGCTGTTTGCCGCAGAGCCGAGGAGAACCTCGAAAGATCTCCGCGGGGGAACTCGTGGATCGGTTTTACCGCGGTCACGACGTAATTCGATTTTCAAACGACAATTTACATGGCGGCGACGGGAGCCCGACCCTCCTCGATTGAAATTCCTCGGGAGCCGGCGCGATAACAGCGTCGTAGCCGTGGTCGACGCCGCCAGCCATCCCTCTCGATTAGTCACCCAAATCGGTTTCGATACGATCGTTCGAGAGACCGAGCGCTCTTCCCGACCGCCCGAGGATATTGATTTCAGCCCGTGATTCGTCCAGGACGCGGAGAGCTCGCGGAGA